TCACACCTGTTTTTGCCATATACTGCACTCTCTCGCGTCTCATACGGAAAGTGTCAGATAAAAATCGACGAACAATAGGTACAGGGTGATCTATTATAAATGTCACCCGTCCTAACTTTTTCATTTCACGCTTTTGATAGAGGTGTTAAATACAAAAGCTTTAAGAAATTGTCAAAAGTTTTTAACTACGTTAGTTTTAAGCATCCTACAGGGTGCGTCAGAAAAGGGTAGCAGAGCAAAGTTATATATATATTTTTTTTAAATGGAATGCCACATATACAGGGTCCCAACTATTTCATAGGGACAGCATTGTTATATCGAAAACGGTTTAAAAGTTACGAGGGCGTTTAAATTGGGAAAATATGCCATTTTTGAGAACATTAAAAAGATAATACTTTTGAGTTTAAACTATGTCTCTAAAATCAATAGATTTTAAAAAATTTGATTAAATTGTTTTTGCTTATTCTCAAAAATCACCCTGTATTTTCGAAACTAATACAAATTTGGCAACAACGAAAATATATTTTTAATATTCTTCAAAAATGGCAACTTTTTTCTAATTTAAACGCCCTTGTAACTTTGACCGTTCCCGAGATAGCAATACTGTCCCTATGAAATAGTTGGGACCCTGTATTGTATACTAATTTGTTAGTCACCTTCAATCTGAGTTCAACGATATACGGTTTGTTATGTTTACCTTTAATAGTTATAGAGAAAAACACGACAGTTTCTTCATAGGTCTCATGTTAATTTACATATTTATAATAATAACTTGAGAAAACTGAATTTATTTCAATATTTCATCCTGGATTTCACCTTGTAAATTAATGAATAACATTTGAACAATAAACTGTTTATATTAAATAACTGTCTCTAAAGCTATTTAATGGTAGGTATCTATAATTTTTTTTTTCAACATGACACCTTGGAAGGGGTTTTCACATTTTCCCCTACAACTATTGAAGGTAAACATATCAAACCATACATCGTTGAAATCAGTTTGAAAGGGAATAACAAATAGGCGCACAATATACATGGGTATTCCATTAAGAAAAATATAACGTTCTGCTACACTTTTTTGACGCACCCTGTCTGCTTGATACTGACTATAGTTAAAAACTTTTGACAATTTCTTGAAACTTTTGTATGTGACAGTTTTATCAAAAAGGTCAAATGATAAAGTTGGGAGGAGGTGACATTTATAATAGATCACCCTGTACAAAAATATTGAGTTTCTAATTATTTATTTTTATTTTTATGTCAAATTTGTGTGTGTTATGTTTTTGTTGTTTTTGCTATACATACTTTAACAAAGACTTGAATATTTTGTTGAGTAGGTAGTAGGTACCTATTTTGGTATTTAAAGCTGTATTTTGAAAAAGTCGGATTGGGACCATTATATACTCCTGGACAAAATTATCGCACCACTGCTTATGATGATGCTTATGTGCAGTGGTGCGATAATTTTATATTTTTATACAAGGTGTCACGAAAGGTTTGTTACAAACTTCTAGGGATGGTAAATCTCGTAAAAATAAAGCTTTTTTATTAATAAACATATGTCCGGAAATGCTTCGTTTTTCAGATATACAGGGTGTAAAATTTTGTAAAGAAATCAATTTTTACATTAATTCTCAGAAATGCGTGCGTTTTAAAATTTTTGTTTTTTTTGTTTTCTTTAAGCAACAAATAGCTTGGTAAAATTTCAAGGAATTCTGTGGCAATTTATTTTTTATTTATGGAGATCAGTGACATTCGTGGTTCGCCTGAAATGGTTTTTAAATTTTATCTCGAAAACAAAGCAGCATACGGAAAAAAATTAAGAGACGAAAACGTTGTATCTTTAACTGTTCTATTCAAAAAAAATAACCTTATTGAAAATAAATCTACTGGACGATGTTTTTCGTGCAAAAAAACCATCCGACAGAACCTGTGGCACGTCCCTGGAATTACTGGGTCAACTCTGAGCAGTTCAAAAGATACCTCATAAAAGTGTCAACAAACGCATTTCTAAGAATTAATAAAAAAATTGGCTTTTTTTCACAAAGTTTAACACCCGGTATCTGGAAAGCAAAGCATTTCCGGACATAGGTTTATTAAAAAAAAAACTTAATTTTTACGAGATCTACCATCCCTAGAAGTTTGTAACAAACCTTTCGTGACACCCTGTATATGTATATTCTTTTCGTTTTTTTTTTTATTATGATATGTTTACATATCATGAATACACTGGCTTTTTTCACCTAGTGTATCATGGAAAATTTATATACAAACCGGATCATCCTACTAGACACATATTTAACTAATAAGACAAGCTTCTACCCGGTTAAGGCGAATGGAAGCGGTGCTGCCAAAGCCGAGTATTGCCGAGCTGCCGAAGATTCACGAATTTCAATAATATGCAGGGAGGATCAATGATCCAGCGTGGCGATCTTACAGTAAATGTGTATCAGTCAACTGGTCCCATTTAAGCCTATGTGTCTAGTAGCCTACTGGTCCTGTCTGTATAATTTTACTTATGTTTTTTTGGAGCCGAGCCCCCATAGTAATTTTGAAGTTCCGGCGCCTATGGTAATTAGACAACATATTGATGGCTGCGGAACTCGCTACGCTCGTCCCACAGAGGTCCACCCATAGGTTCCGCAATAATGCAACAATTCACTCATTTGTACTTGAATAACTTGTCACATTATGTTATTAGTTTAGTAAAGTTACATTACTAATTCCTGTTAAAAGGCAAATTGACAAAAAGTGGATAATCTTACAAATTTTGACTTCATATACCGGGTGTCCCACAATCAGCGTTACAGGCCATAACTTTCTTATTTTCAAAAATAAAAATTTGAAACAAAAAAATTATTAATAGCTCTTCAAAAATATAAAAAAAGTTATAAGTAAATGAAAGCTGTAAATACAAAAGTTGAACAGTATTGGCCAAATTTTCAGAATCCATGGTCAGAAACAAAAATTGAATGTCAGAAATGTGAAATGTTGCATGCTTTCAGCTTTTTTCAAATGGGATGCCCTATATTTGGGTTTTTACTTGAATAACTTGTCACAATATAATACTAGTTTCGTAAAGTAACATTACTAATTCCTGTTAGGGTATCCCATTTGAAAAAAGTTGGAAGCATGCAAAATTTCACATTTCTGACATTTAAATTTTGTTTCTAACCATGGTTTCTAAAAATTCAGCCAAAACTGTACAATTTTTGTATCCACAACTTTCTTCTACCTATAAAGGTAAAGGCTGTAGGCGAGGTGTCAATAAATAAAAAAACACCCTGTATAAATAAGTGGATTATTGCGGAACTTATGGGAGGACCTCTGCGGGACGAGCGCAGCGAGTTCCGCAGCCATCTTCTTACCAATATACTGTTGAACTGTTCAAATAAGACACTCACCTGACACGTGTAGTTTTTGAACTATGAGAAAAATTCACAACTAAGTAAATCAGGTTAGTATTGTACCTGAACAACATAATATTTGTGATTTGTGAATAGACGGCTGGGACCACCCATAAGTTCAGCAACAATTCACTCGTTTTTACTTGAATAACTTGTCACAATATAATACTAGTTTCGTAAAGTAACATTACTAATTCCTGTTAGGGTATCCCATTTGAAAAAAGTTGGAAGCATGCAAAATTTCACATTTTTGACATTTAAATTTTGTTTCTAACCATGGTTTCTAAAAATTCAGCCAAAACTGTACAATTTTTGTATCCACAACTTTCTTCTACCTATAAAGGTAAAGGCTGTAGGCGAGGTGTCAATAAATAAAAAAACACCCTGTACAAATAAGTGGATTATTGCGGAACTTATGGGAGGACCTCTGCGGGACGAGCGCAGCGAGTTCCGCAGCCATCTTCTCACCAATATACTGTTGAACTGTTCAAATAAGACACTCACCTGACACGTGTAGTTTTTGAACTATGAGAAAAATTCACAACTAAGTGAATCAGGTTAGTATTGTACCTGAACAACATATTTGTGAATAGACGGCTGGGACTACCCATAAGTTCCGCAACAATTCACTCGTTTTTACTTGAATAACTTGTCACAATATAATACTAGTTTCGTATAGTAACATTACTAATTCCTGTTAGGGCATCCCATTTGAAAAAAGTTGGAAGTATGCAAAATATCACATTTCTGACATTCAAATTTTGTTTCTGACCATGGTTTCTAAAAATTCAGCCAAAACTGTACAACTTTTGTATTTACATCTTTCTTCTACCTGTAAAGGTAAAGGCTGTAGGTGCGGTGTCAATATATATAAAAAATACCCTGTACCTAATATAGTGCCCTGCTCGTAGGTAAAACTCAACAAAAGTAGCATTTCCAATTCCAATATTTCCACATAAGGTAATTATGTTCAACGGTTGTTTAATCGTTTGGAATAAAGGCGACATCACACGAGCGTAACGGTGCGACGAAAGTGGCCCTTTGCCTAATTAATTTTAAGTGATTGGACTCTACTATGGATGAAGTATATTAAATTTGCACCCAGGAAAGCTTAGGGGTAGTTTTGAATTGAAAGGAAAAATTCCAACAAACTCAATCTGTTAAATTTCTTACTGACCCAGTCGTTATTATTGATACCAAAGGACCCCCGAAGCCTAAATTATGGCCGAGCTTTGACCTTTTACCACCATATTTCTTCTCGTTAAGGCGCTATAAAACCAGATCAAGCTCTATTAAAATAATTAGGGAATTTAAACGGACCAGTCTTTTGAATCAAAATATTGCTATGGACACGAATACGCCTGTATACTAATAAAAATTTAAGAATTTTATGAATAATAAATTGCTAATTGTTTATTAATGATCGACAAAATTATAAATTACATGAAAAATTTCGGTCTGTGGGTCGGTGACTTATTGAAGATAAGATTGACTTTAAAATAAATATTTGGATATCGCTTTATCACTAATTGTTCAAAAAGCAAAGAGGAAGTTGATGCATATTGGCATGTTCTTTAGATTCTATTTACTTACCAAACATTAATTATTGCGGCTAGATCCAAAAAACAAAGACCCACAACTCACAATAAAATTTTCCCGATATTTCCATTCAATTCAATACGATGAGCGCCCCTTCTAAAAACCCCATTAAGAAACCTCTTATACTCGCATCTAAAGCCATACTGGCATGAGTGTGGCTGATCCACCTCGTGTTTTCTTTCTCTGTGTATATTCGTTTGGCCAATGAACGGTTTGACTCTGGTCTAGTCTGAAATGTAACGGTATCGCTGCCACTTCAACGAGGTTCGAGCTTTTTCGGTGTATCATCAATCACTTGAGTCATCGTTTTAATCAGTTTGATTGGTGTTTGCGCACACCTTGGTGCATAATTTTATATGCATGAGCAGTTTGGGATTAGCTCAGTGAAGTTATAGAGTCTAAATTTTGATCCTTATTACCGGCTCTTGATTGTCTCTAAAAAAATTGTTTAGTAAATCAAATGCTTGTGATTATTACTGGTTCTGGTTGAGTCAGATTTATGAAAAAATTGAGTGTTTTACATTCAATTTTTGACAGGTGATTAATACCCTCTCTATCAACATTTTGTCCATTTTTTCTCAAAATCGATACGGTTTAGGGCACTTATGGCCCTTATAAATTGAAAATATGAAAAAATTTGGTCCAAATTGAGCTTTTTTTTTCTGATGATTTTCGATAGGATTCCACATCGAGTTCCGCATTCATTTTTTGACAGGTGATTAATACCCTCTCGATGAAGGAACTTTTTGTACCACAAACTCAGCGGTCAACGAGTTCTCACTCCTCTCCATAATAATGACAAAATTGTGGGGGATGATAGCATTGATAGCTATATCATCACCAATAGCCAAGTTCAAAGAGCTGTGGATAATGCAATGGTACCTAACTATACAGATCCAAATCTAACAGGGCAAAACAAGCCCAAAAAAACACTTAGCAATAAAGAACCAGTTAGCAAAGGCACAGCAGCCTCTTTAGGGGGTTTGTTTCGAGGAGTACGTGGTAAGAAATTGCTGTTTTTGGGGCGTATTGATCGTGGGGAAACATCACAAATAATCTTTGATTATGTTAAAGAAAAGGCCAGAATATCTGGACAATTAGTTATTGGTTGTGGAGAAATTGCCCACTAAAGCAAGCTCTAGAAATTTCAAGGTTGGACTTTGTGAGACATTCTATGACTTGTTCGACAAGGATGACTTCTGGCCACTCAACATCTTTTTTAGGCCTTTTATTTATCGTAGCAGGCATTATTGTAGCAGGTAGAGGGCCCAACCCCATGGGCTCTCTGGAAATTTTCTCAACCAGCAAACAGTGACAGCAGCACTCTATCATTTTTCTATTACTGAGGGACTTTATCACTACAGAACTTCGAGTTATTACCACAAAATTTCCTTTAATTACCCCCAAAATTGCCTTAAATTACCAAAAATTATCCCGAATTACTATAATTCCATTAGTTACGACTAAATACTAGATACTATATTTCCTCTAATTTCCAGTCATTACCACTCATTTCCCGTGAAATTTCCACTAATCATCGCGATTGTGTACACTAAATTACCACAATGAAATCCTCCTCACTACCTTATGATTTAAATTTTGGAAAACTTTGAAAAATCGTAAATTTTTTTCTATGAGAGATAAGAAGCTGAAATTTTAAGCGATTCTTATCCCAGTGGCGGGCTACAATCCCTGAAAATTTTAGCTCATTTGGACTTATAGATTCCGAGACCTCTTATGGATATTGAGATATTACCTCTTCAATTATAACAGGTAGGTATATAGAAAGCACTTTTGCTGGATAATCTTGTACATACATAATATAGTGAAATGAATGTAAGTAATAAAAAATCAATCGGAAAATTTCAAATTTCCAATTTCACAGTCTGGAAACTCGTGTAAAATTGCCCTTTCATTGCTCAAAAACACAACTTCCATAGCCAAAATAGATCAAAAAATCTATATAAATCATGAAAACAAATTTTCCAAACTTGAATTTTGTTTCTGGAAGTTGATCTGAGATCTTTTTTTCCTGGCAAAATTAACTCAAACTTGAAACATTGAAACGCCATCTTTTCCACAATTTGGAAATAGGTTTGATTCTTGATTCCAATGTCCAAAATGAAAAAAACTTACCAGGATTTTTACCATGACTTCATATAATTCTGGATTTCAGTCACAAGTCTTGCAGATTTAAGCTTAAAAGTCTTGGTTATTAGTGCTGCCCTATAACAAAAAGTTTATAATTTTACTAAAGAAAGTTTTATTTTCAATAACTTACCTTGTTAAGTTTCAAAATTGTAACTTCAAGCCCAATTTCCACACCACCCTAGAGGTACGAGCTGTCGGTGCGTTTTTTTTTCAAGTGCTTTCCCCATTAGGCCTAATGCACTTTGAAATTACACTTGTACAGCCAAAACCGTCAACTATCCATCAATTCAACCTTCACTCGCCAGCTAGGAAGTCACCACTGCAAACACTTACCATGCTTACGGTGTATATTTAGTGCAACAAATGAGGTCCAGGACAACTATGGCATTAGGCTCCCCCGGGGCTTCCCTGCTTTAAAGATTCAGTCGAATCATGAACTGTTTTTCGGGAATTGACACATATGTAATTTCACCTGGAAGAGAAAAGTGATAAAAGTTTGGATCCATGCAGTCATGTCCATCATTGTCCAGTCGGTTGTGGCTACGTCTACCATTGTCAGTCATTTGTTTCAATGTCCACAAATCCTAGTTATTTGTCCCATGTCTAGAGTGGCTGTACAATGTCCAAAGCAATGATAAACTTAGCCTTTATTGATCCATTTGTATCATATCCATGACCAAAAGCAGCTCATCACTTCATGGTTCAAAATTTGGAAAAGGGATGTCTGGAAAAATAACTTTATGTTAGTGAAAATTCAATGTTTTATATTAAAAATTACTTATTTATTCACCTTCAATATCCAACATGCAAAGCACTTATGTAGGTAGGTACAATAGAACCCCGGTTATCCAAAGTAACGTGGACCTCGGATAACTGAAAACTCGGATAATCCGAATGTACATATATGTATACCTATGAAGAGTGTAGGTAAATATTCGTGACTGGCCAGTTATAAACAGAAGTTATTTTCTGGGGTATCAGTCTAAGGGCTAAATAGGTCTCAGAACTTTTATACTATGTATGGTATATTCTAGAAACTCGGTTAATACGGAGTATGGATCTCGAATTTTCGGGTCTTTAGACTGGCTCGATTAATCCAGAGCTCGGATAATCGAGGTTGTATTGTATATGTGAAAAATGTACTATTACCTTGCACTTACAAACCACAATTAGGATTTTTACCAGAAATAATTCATAGCCTATAATATTCTGCTTACCTAAGAAATAGAAGTGACACAAATTTTATGGATATCAAACGAAAATGCACTTTCATACAATTTAATTTTTTCTGGAAAACTACTAGAGGGAAAATTGTGAAATTTTTAGGAGAAAAAGAGGAAAGTTGGGAGATCATCAGACTAAAATTTCAAACTTTTTCAGTGAAAAATAATAAAATGGGAAATTGATGAATACTTATGTACTTACCTTTGTCAAAAATCCGACTAGAAAAAGATTCTTATTATAGACTCTTAAAGTCATCCGACGACTTCTGGATTCTGTTTGTTTACAGGGGGGGCTCACCTGAAAACAATAACACAGCGGCAGAAATAAATTGTTCATGTAGGTATATACAGAGTGATTAACGTAGCCCGTGCATTGGATTGCAGGTGGATTACATACACCATCTCTATTAATCCACCTGCAATCTGGAAAATTTAATGCACAAAGCAAGAAAAAGTCCTCAAAAAATTCAACTCTCCACTCACTTCAGTTTTGGAGTGAAAAAATTGTTGGTAGAGTACATATTACTTTACAAAACATCATTATTTTAGAAAAGTCATAACTCCATTAATAATAACTCAATTCAATCCCTTTGAGTTTTTACGTACGTCGGGCAGCTATGATTACGCTTAAGTGTAGGTCGAACATATACAGGGTGACAATTAGAAAAGCAGCAATCAGGAATATTTCTCAGACAAAAAATACCATTAGGAAGATCTTAAATACATAGCCTGTTGGATCATGAATACAGGTAAATTCACCCCAATGACCATGAGTTTCAAAAGGTCCACTTTAGCCGCTCAGGTATAGCAGATAAGATTCTATAAGTATAAAAACATTATCTTATTTCAATTGTTGTCCTATATCCTATTTCCAATATAACCCCTCCTGTGTTTTAGATGGGGCTTGCCCCCTCCCAATGATTTTTCTAAAATGAGAAATACCCCTTTGAAGCCGTGACCATTTCATTTCAGCTACAATATAGAATATGATCACTTGACTCTTCATCTAGAAAACACATAAACAATTTTGCCTGCGGCAAAGTTGAAGGGCATTCAGTTATTCTATTAAAGCCCCATTATAAGCTGAATATTCATGTTGTGCAGCTGACACCCAACACCAAATTATAATTCAACCATTTCTCGCCGGTATTCGGTAGTGCCCCACTGCTACATTTACCGTATATAGTATATTCAATGCAACAAATGAGATCCTAACCTATTATGGTGGACGGCCTCCCCAGGGGACACCAATTACCAAAAAGACATGATCAAATCCTAATTAGTTGCTCTGGATAATCAGTGAAACGCAACTTCAATAATTGTTATAAAAACATTTACAGCAAAATGTTTTCTTAATAAATAAATGAGATCTTCTTCATATAGTATTTTTTGTCTAAGTGTCAAATTGTCATCCTGTATGTCCGACGTGGCCTAAATGGAAACATCACTGTCGGGCAGTTTTGCCCGACATAACTTAACAAAATCATCCATTACTCCGTTAATATTTCATATATTTCAATGTAAAAATAACTATTTTGAATCAGAATTCCAATATTTGAAACAGTTCTGAGATATGAGCCTCCAAATTTGAAACTTTGAGTTAGATTTCCATAGAGCTCCTTTGATTCTACATCAAAAATTATTTTTTCGATTTATTCAAATTTTTGACTTCACCAGTCGGAAAATAAGGTCAAATTTGGTAGAAAAACATTGTGACAACTCTATGTTAAAGGTTTCAAGGCTTGAAACAAATTGAAAACACTTATTGGTCTCTAAAAATTTCATTTATTCGATATGATTTCACAAAATCATCTATTACTCGGTTTAATATTCCATATATTTCAATGTTAGAATAACTATTCTGAATCAGAATATGATGCTCTTCAAGATGAAACAAATTTTATTCCAATATTTGAAACGGTTCTGAAGATA